TTGTAGCAGAGTTTGTCGCCAAATTTTTGCCAAAGATTAACCTTCTTTATTTCATAAATTACAGTTTCTTTTTTTTAATTTTATAATTTTTGCATGCCATCTTACCAGATTTAAACTGATGATCTATAATCCGGAATCGCCGAAGTCCCGACCAGTCCGGATTAACGACTCTTGACTGTACCATTTTTAAAATCTATGTTAAATTTATTGAATGAACGACAAGACTATTCAAGAATATGTGAAATATTTTAGCATAAAATTTGCCGTGTGGAGCATCGCAAGGTGATGGGAGGATGTTTCTCCAGATAATTTAAAAAGTGCTTGGCAAAATTTATTGCCAGCCACCATAATTCGTAGTGAAGATGATAGCTGCAATGATGAAGGTTTATCGATATCACTAATGAAGGGTGAAATGTTCCAATTTAAAGATTTTGTAAAGATATGTGGAGAAGTGATAATAAATGAAGATAACAGAAGCTATTGATTGCGATGGCAATGCCCTAATCATCAATAAATTAATGGATGGCAAAATCTGTAGTATAGTACTAGATCCAGGAAATAATGCTGCCAAAAGTGAAAGAGACGTTACTGTTAAAAAATTTTTAAACGGAATTCTAGAAACAACAGTTACAGGACTTGAACTATGGATCTTTGTAACTAAACAAGAAATTATATTGGTATACAGAAGAGAGAATGTACTAGCACGGGTTGTCTGTATTTTCAGGTAAGCCTTGGATTATCGCCAAGGAAAGAAGTTAGGGCTCTAGTGTAGAATTGGATGCCCCTTCGTTTAGCGACAAATTTTTTTTTTTTTAATTTTAGAGACGAAACCTCATTTCTGGTTACCATGATAGTTTTAACTTTGTTTTAGCTTCCTGATATTTTTAAAATGAAAATAGATTGATGTGTACATGGACAAATTTAAGGCAGTGTGCAATGCCTAGTTTGTGCAATTCTGGGAATTTTTTTTTTTTTTTTTTTTTTAAGTGAGAAAAGATCAATGTGTACATGGACACAGAATTTGTGCAATTCTTTAACTTCTTATTTTGGTTTTATGTAGCACCCATCTTGAAATTGTGCTTTCCTGGTGCCGATCTTGGCGTAAAAAAAAAAAAAAAAAACTTTTCTGAAGTTAGGAAGTACGATGCTTATTTTGTGCTTTATAACCATGAAATAGCTGACGGTGATCAAAATAATCTGATGTTTCTGTTTGATTTAGAGTGAGTGAGAAAGACAGTATTGATTGATCGGTGTGAAGGTTTAATTGTAATTTAACAGAATATCTTACCTGGAACCACGATCACATCCGAGTGCTGGAAGTTGTACAATTGTCTTTCTGAAAAATCGTTTTCTTCATCTCTCAGTAAATTACACAGTGACATTTAAGGATTCCGAAAGTGGAGCTCATATCCACACTATCGAAAGTACGTGGGGTGTAATATAAAGGGATTTTTAAAAGAAATGCCACCAACAGTCCGGCAATGGAGGATAATTTTATTCTTACTTTTGTGAATTTATGTGGTGACAGCAGCATAGATAAGATAAGAGTTTTGGCTTCCCTGCTCCGAGAACTCAATCTCACTGCAGGTCCACTCACCCTTTGGGCACATCGTGGAAGTTCAACTTCCACTATTACCCTCCAGGAGAGCAGTGCACCACCTGGATACAACACCAGGCAACACCTGTCGTCAAATGCTCCTACCAGTCACTTGGGCGAGCCCGTCGCAGCGGGACATTACCCAGCGACCCCGGGGGAGACCCCCGGGTTACCAGAACCACACCGCGCTAGGATGTGCCAGACTCCGGGGCCAGCCAATAAGTGACCTTTCCCAGAGCCTTCAGAACCACCAAGTTCATAAATTTTATACCCCTGTGGCCGAGACTGCCTAGGTACAGATCCTAGCCAGTAGCTTCGCAGAGTTCTCTACGTCGACCCCTGGGGGGGTGACAGCAGCATAGATGCCAGTTTAAATAATTTTAGACAGGTTTTGGATGCTATTAAGGAATTTTGTGTGCCACACACTGAAGACACAGAAATTTCGGAAGCACTTCCGCAGAGAACACGGTAAATGTAAACATCGCCAACTTTGGCGATAATAGTTCAAACCTGGTAACTCAGCGGATTTATCCTATTTGCTTGTTCGAAGTTTGCAACCATTCCTCTTGCGTTCATTTTGTTGAATTATCACTGTCGTTGTTCGCATTTGCAGATTTATATTATTCTTCTCTTATTTTATTATTATTTTTCTGATTCTTAATTTTAACAACGAATTGATAGAATATTTTTCGTAGATAGATGCCGGTTCTCGGTTCGGGATGAAAGGAAAAAAATACGGCGGGAGGGGTGAATGCTAATTTGTAACACGGCTGTTCACGTTGTGTTCTTAATTATTAACAGCTCTAAGAACCAGCAATTTAAATAACTAAGTAATGCTTTTATTTTTATTATTGGTTATTGTCATCTAAAATTATGAGAATAAATCAATTTTCTGGCGTAAAATTTTAACAAGATAATATACTGTTAATGCTTTTCTAACAATAAACCTTTCAGAGGATGGCAGGTGTGACATAAATAGATGATTAAGTTGAAATAAAAAAGATTATTGATTATCTAAGATGACAGAATAGTTTGATGCATAACCATGGTCATCAAAATTAGCAAACCACTGCTGGTGTAAGGAATATATCGTTTTCTGTGTTAACTGGAATTTAAGACAAATTTTTTTTGTTTATCACGTTATCAGGTTAATTTCAGTACATTAATACTAATTTATATTTTTCAAATGAATTTTTATTTCCGTTATAAATGCTTATATATTGTCTTATACTTAATACAGTCAAAAGTCTTTAATCCGGACTCGTCGGGACTTCGGCGATTCCGGATTATCGATTTTTCCGCCATTATAGATCATCAGTTTAAATCTGGTAAGATGGCATGCAGAAATCATAAAATTAAAAATATGAAACGGTAATTTATAAAATAATGAGCAATTATGATCTAGAGGCTATCAAAATTTACAAAAAAGAGGCCTAATATTTATTTGTTTACTTTATTAAACATTTCTTTCAACGTGCGATGCGTAAAGCATACATTATGCATAATGGAAATTAGAAAATTGCAACCAGAAAACTATTTCATTTGTATTCGTGATATTTATAATGACGAGGAATTTGATTTAAATCATATCAAAGACGGAGTACATCGAGATGAAATACTACATTTAGTAAGGAATTATAAGCCGAATAAAATAAAAACATCTGCCCTGAAGATAACGGATAGTGTTGACAGATCAACTTCCAGTTCATTGCGCGCCGCGACGTCCCCCCCCCCCCCCACGCAGAGCAGCGTGAAATTGATAAACAGATTTCGGAACGGTTAGATAAACAAAGGATATGCCTTTATCCATTTTTTGTAGCAATTCTTTTTTGTTTGATGGACATCGAAAACATACTTTCGTTTTGTAGATCCTTTGGGAGCTCCAGCAATCGGAAATTCTATTTGACATAATCGAAAGTTCAAGCTTACTTTTATAAAATTGCTCTTAACAGTCTGCAAAAAATAATAAGCCGGATCCAATTCGAAGATTAAAGGAACAACGCAATCATCAACATTAACTGAAATAGATAATTAGATAATTTTAGCTTATACCATCCGTTATATATTAAACGCGCACGCGAAAACGTATTCTGCACTTGCGCAGTCCTAAATGTCTTGTGCGCACGAGTAAAACGCCTATGCACATGCGTCAATGCGGCGCATGCGCAGAAAGATTTTAGCTTTGAGGTCCGGATTATAGATCATTCCGGATTATGGGTGTCCGAATTAACGACTTTTGACTGTATATTCTTTTCTGCGCTAACTTGAATTTAATACAATGTTTGTATATTACGTTTAACAAGTTAGTTTTACATCTACATGCTTATTATCTGTGAATTTTTACTACCATATGCTTAATATATTGTTTTGTCTGCTAACTTGAATTTACATGCACTAAAAAATCATGTTTACAAAATATCACGTTTGCGGCTTGGCTCATCGTCGATGAAACGCGAGCTTGGTGAGTAAAAATGCACCAACGGGTTCTTTCCCGAAGCGCCAACGGTTCTCTGCGGATGAAAAGCCGAAATTTCTAAATAAGGTAAGTCAATATTTCCTTTTTGCATTATGCAGATTAGATAATGTATAGTTTCATTTCTGTACTATTTACTTGCTTTCTTTTGATTTAAAATGCAGTTTATTTAGATTATAATTTTTTTTAATTATGTTTTATTGCATTACGTTTCGGATGCCATTTTACATGGAAGGGCGTTGCACGTACGTTGTTCGCACAAAAGCTTCAAATTAATCTTACCACATTCAGACATTTCACCATCTAAATCACAAAATTACAACATACTTATCCAACACACACAAGCCCTTCCCCAAAATCTGACATGCACTTTCCAAATTCACCGCAATGTTTCCATAGCATTTAACTACTCAGATTGCGATAAATGAAACAACACGCATTTCTGATTATAATTTTTTTTTAAATATGGTTTATTAAATAAAATAAACAGGCTGAAATACTGCAATGTTACTTCAATAAATTCCATGAAATAAAAATTTAAAGTAACCTAGCAACTTTCTATGAAAGTTCTGCATTACAAATACCTGTTATGGGTTCTAGAAAAAGGTGTTCCTTTTGAATTAAAACCATAAAAATGGTGACCAAGTGCCAAATGTTGCTAGTTTCTATTCAGTTTCAAAGTTGCATTATTATGGGAACTAAATGACACAATTTTTTTATGCTTCAGATATAAATAATGATAATTTTTCAGAATGTTTGAAGACTGAGAAAGCTGCACCGAAGCAGAGACGTCTGTCTTTCTTTTGTACACAGATGTTCATGCTTATAAAGTGTACATCCTTACAAATTAAAAATAGAGTTTCTTTCAACACCAGATAAAAAACATAGAACAGTTTTTATATAAATATTTACTATATTTGAGTTTCTTACCTGCATTAAAATGAATTTCCATACTGATTCATTTTTTCTTTACACACACAGGGTTGCTCTAACTGGTATGTCCAGGATTTGATTGTAGAAGACCTCATTTTCCTTTGCCTTAACCATATTCTAGTCTTATGAGTGTTATACACTTGACACATTTGATATTGCAGCTGGTTAGCAATACTGAGAATAATATTTGCTGATAATAGCTCTAATTAGCTCAAAAGTATGTCAAAAAAGTGGAACTACGTATTTTGACTGCAGGTCTTCAGTGTTTCATCACAAAACACATACATGCACAAAACACACACACACAAAACGCATAGAAGTTACAGTACCCATATCGGACGAAAAATATAGCCATGGTAAAAAGTAAAGTGTAAGTGGTGTAAAGTAAAAAGTAAAGTGTAAGTTTCAAAGTGGTAACAAGCATATGAGCACTACAATGCATTTTGGTAGGTCTCAGATGTAACACTGTGAGTTTAACAAAAGCTATGAAAATCAGTGCAAAGGATTCAAATTTTGAGAAAAAGTGCAAGAAATGTAAAGCACATCAAGTGAGATTCTGAATAACATCTTTTCAATGAAGATTGGTATAAGCAGTTTTAGACCCTTTAGAACAGGAAAGTAGTATATTAACTTTAAGTTAGCATTACTTAAAAAGGACTTGAGATATATCTTGCATAAATGAAGCTTTTTGTTTTTGGAAAGACATAAAAGATTTATTACTTATTTGCATCAAATGACAATTTACAAACTGCACAAAGGTGTCACCATTATGCTTTAAATCACACGCTATAATGTCTCTAAATATAATATTCTGTAAGTGAATGGCTCTGTTAATTCCAAGAATTTTGACCACCGCTTAATATGGGCAACTGTTGTGATTGAGACTGACTTCAACACAAGAGATGAGGTTTCTTTGCTGCATACAGAAATCTGTACTCCACTGATAAATAAAAATTGATACTAATTTAGCATCTCCTCAAAACTTTCTCCCTTGTGCAGATCAACATATATTTCTTTAAATTTTTACCCTTGTGACTAAAGGACATTTTTACACATGAGGATTTTCTCCTTTATGAATAAGGATATGACTAGTTAAATTATCCTTACAACAAAATGACTTCTTACATACTTCACACACGAGGTTTCTCTCCTGTGTGAAAAAGCATACGAGTCTTTAGAGGACACTTCACTCTAAATGACTTCTTACATATTTCACACACATGAGGTTTCTCTCCAGTATAAATAAGCATATGACTCTTTAGAGAACCCTCCTGTCTGAATGACATCTCGCACACTTCACACATGATGTTTCTCTCCTGTATGAATATGAATATGCCTTTGTAAACTAGCCTTTAGAGTAAATGACTTTTGACATACTTCACACATATAAGGTTTCTCTTCTGTGTGAACAAGCATATGATTGTTGAAAAGATGCTTCTGACTAAATGATTTTTTACATACTTCACACATATAAGGTTTTTCTGTATGAATATGAATATGCCTAAGTAAACTAACCTTTTGAGTAAATGACTTTTGACATACTTCACACATATAAGCTTTCTGTCCTATGTGAAGAAGCATATGATTGTTGAAATAACGCTTCTGATTAAATGATTTCTTACATACTTCACACATATAAGGTTTTTCTGCAGCGTGAATACGCATATGGATGTTTAAATTACACTTCTGTCGAAATGGCTTCTTACAAACTTCACACACATGAGGTTTCTCTCCTGTGTGAATAAGCATATGATTGTTTAAATTAGATTTCTGTCTAAATGACTTTCTACATACTTCACAAATATAAGGTTTTTCCGCATTGTGAATAAGTATATGGCTGTTTAAAGCACGCTTATGAGTGAATGACTTTTTACATACTTCACATACATGAGGTTTCTCTCCTGTGTGAATAAGCATATGCCTGTTTAAAGAAACCTTAAGCCTAAATGACATCTTGCATACCTCACACACATGAAGTTTCTCTCCTGTGTGAATAAGCATATGCCTGTTTAAAGAAACCTTAAGCCTAAATGACGTCTTGCATACTTCACACACATGAAGTTTCTTTCCTGTGTGAATAAACATATGGTTGTTTAAAGCCAACTTGCCACTAAAGGATTTCTTACACACTTCACATACATGAAGTTTCTCTCCTCTGTGAATAAGCATGTGCCTGTGATAACTATACTTTTCACTAAATGACTTCTTACATACTTCACACACATGAGGTTTTCCTTCTGTGTGAATAAGCATATGGATGTTTAAGGAATACTTCTGACTAAATGACGTCTTGCATATTTCACACACATGCAATTTCTTGCCTGTGTGAATAAGCATATGGCTCTTTAAATTACCCTTTTGACTAAATGACTTCTTACACACTTCACATACATGAGGTTTCTCTCCAGTGTGAGTAAGCATATGAGTGATCAAAGAACCTTTCACACCAAATGACTTCTCACAAACGTCACACATAAAAGGTTTTTCTGCAGTGTGAATAAGCAAATGGCTATTTAAACCATACGTATGACAAAATGACTTCTTACATATTTTGCACACATAAGATTTGTCTCCTGTCTGAGTAAACATGTGCATGTTTAAATTAACCTTATGAATTAATCACTTCTTAAATACTTCAAACAAATATGAAGGCTTGTTTCATGTGTTAAAGCATATGCTTGTTTAAATTGCTCTTACGACAAAATTATTTCTTACATAATTCACATATATACGGTTTGTAATAAGCAAATGCGAGTCTAAATTAATTATTTAACTAAAGTCTTACGCACTTCAATCATATCAGGCTCTTCTGCTATGTGAATTAGCATATGCATGTTTAAATTACATTTTCGACAATATGAAATCTAAATTTCACACACATGTGGTTTGTGTTCGGTATAGATCTGCATGTGCTCTTTTAAACATTGCCTCTTAAAAATAATTGGTTACAATCTGCCAGAACACATAATTTCTGTGCTACATTGATAACGATAACTGGCTTTCTTAAGATAATATACCTTGTTAAATACCTAGTGATGAATTTTTTCCTCCAAATGGATGTAAAATGAACTGCTTAACATAAACTTCGGTCGACGTAGTTCTAAGATGGGTCTCTTTAGCGTTTGATGCCACGTGTAAATACAAGTGTTTATCTTGATAAAAGAATCGATAATTATTTACAAGACATATCAGCTATTTTATATTAGAATACCTCAAGGATGCCTTGATTTCCAGGAATGCTTCAATCCAAAAAAATTTCTTATCGTTCACTAAAGTACGATTTCTCAGTTGAGAATATAATTATACTTAAATATGAACTTATTCTAAATGCTATATTAATAATGTTGCCATCAGGAGCAACTTAACTCAAGATACAAGAGCAAGGAGGTTAGACATCTAACCTCCATGTAAGACGATAATAAATAGGTTGCGCTTTTAAGAATAACGAGAACTCCTGATTTAAAGGTAAGGAATAATTGGCTTCATTTCATACTCTACGATATCTATTGATCTATCAGGTAAACAATTCCTTATTTCAATTTTAGTGAAAATAATATATTTGGTTTTTTCCCTTATTCACATATAAAAAAAAGCAGTGCTTACTTTTAATAATATAATAAAAAAGCAAATATAAATTAAAATTTTAATTTTAATTACGAAATTTTAATTTCAGAAATAAAAATAAAAAAAATTATTATTCTTGCAAACTAATTTACAGTATCATTTAAATTCTAAAAGCATATGTAAATTAATTGCATTTATCTAAAACCATAAAAAAGATATTATTCCAAAAAATTAAATTTATTATTCTTAAAGTTGCATAAGTTAATAATTGTTGAGCAGGTGGGAGACAGACTTATCAAGGGGAAGTTGCCCCCAATTCTAACTCTTCAATTACTCATTTCGTGTTTCATCATTCATATATGCAAGGATAAAATTAAAATTCAAAACCAAAAATAAAATCAAATGTTGTGAATTATTAAAAAAAAAAAAAAAAAAAAAAAAAAAAAAAATTTAAACAGTGGAATTTTAAGAAAATAGCAAGTAAATGACTAGAGTTAAATTTAATTAAATTAATTAAAAGTCAATTAAGAGTAGAAAACCAAATTTTAAGAAAAACAATGCAATTTACAAACTCTTGCCTAATATAGTAGTATGTGTGTGATATTTTGGCAGTCGGGCACATGAGTGAAGCTTTTCAATCCAAGGACGACACAGAAGTTAATTGTTTTGATACCACATCTTTATCAATTCACAGGCATATTATCATTGTTTACTAAATAAATTAATTTCAATGCGCCATTTTATTCTAACAAAAAAAAGACAGAAGTGCAGCGGCACAGATCTTAGCAGCAGAGGGAGAAGGCGATCTCTCTGACGCAAAATGGCGCAAGTTCTCTATTTATAGAAGCGGTTACGTAATAGGCTGGAATGTTCTCGAAAATACTGGTTTAGGGGGAAGATCCTGAAACTGCAGAAAGTTAATTAAAGGTTGCGTGTTCACATAGAGCAAAGACATCGTGCTTTTTACATCTTCCCCCCTCAAAAACAAGAGGCCGGGCAAGTAAAGCATTAGTAGATTAGTGAAGCAAGAAGTATAAGAAAAGACATAAAGAAAGACATCCAGGACATAGCTATGCACTATGCCCTTTCATAAATCATGATCTTTCTCATATAACTAGAAAATTTTTTAATTATATAATTTTACAATGATTCATAAATAAACATATAATCTATAACTAAATTTAGAACTATGAGACAATAATATATGGAAGAATAATAATAAATAATAAATTACAATCATAAAAGCCCTTAATTTTTCTCAAAATGTTCATTGAACAGTCCTTTTCATCGAATGAAAATACTGATTGAAGTCTCCTGATGCCAGTAAGTCCACAAGATAAAGATAAGCTCACAATATTATGCACTTGTTCCAATGAATATGGTTTCATATATAATTTTTGAATAGAAGATATTTAAAAATTATGCGGGGAACATTTTTTCATATAAAACTTAGAAGATACACAATTTATGCATAATGTATTACGTGCGTTCATTTTTCTCATCGTAGGTAAATTAACAATACATTGACATATTTTAAAATAATTTAAAAATTTAATATAAAACATTTTGATATAATACCTTAAGAAAACTGTTCAATATAAATCTCTAAGAATATAATATAATATTTAATAAGACAATAACACCTTGAATAAAATTCTTTGGCATTTCCTCTCCAATAGATCAGCGTGACTAGTTCGCTGATGGTTGGGGGGTGCTAGGTACAAAATATCAAAAACCTCTGTTGTCTAATAAAAGGTAACTGGTTTTTGACATTGTACATTGTAGCAATGTGTTTTTGTAAAAATACAAAATCCTACAAAACTAGAAATGAATATTATCTTACAAAAAGAAGAAATAAAGGGGAAAAAAATGTTACAAAATAATGTAAGAAAGAAAATGTTTGTTTTCTAAAATTATGTGAAAAGTACAAAAGGTCAAGATCGGGAAAAGAATTTGTCGTAGTTAAGGTTTAGATCTAAATCAGGTATTAAAAGGTCATAATCAGGAAAACTTTTAATAGGGAATTTTGAAAAATTAAATTAATTTTGGGCAGACATTAGGAATTCTACTGGTTCTAACAGTTAATTTAAATTCACTTGCTGAATTCAAAGGTCTTAGTCTAGTTGAATGAACAATTTCTGATTTTAGTTAGAGGATTAGGTTTATCAATTTCATAGTAACTTCAGAATATTGTTTTAGAATTTTGTAAGGTCCTGAAAATGGAGGAGAAAGTTTACGTGCATTATGATATTAAAATTTTTCATACATTACTAAATCACCTATTTTAAAATTACGAGGTGTATAAAGAGTATCATAGCTTTCTTTATTTGCATTATGATAATTATCAGATCTTTTTGAGCTATTTTTCTAGCTTCTTGTATCGGATATAATTCTCGACTTTGAATTAAGGAATCATAAGGTAATTTTCCATTAAGTATTAAGTATAATGGTGGGAATTTTGTTACAGAATAAAGGGTGTCATTATATTCTTCAGTTACTTGGGGTAATTATTTTGTCCACGCAATATTACTTAGACAAGAATTTAGCTTATATTTTAACCTAGTTATAATCGTTTGATTAACATGTTCAATTTTACCGTTAGTTTGGGGTCTATATGCAGTAGTTAATAATTGTTTTACATTATGATTCCTTAAAAAGTGCTTAAATTTTGAAGATGTAAAAGCAGCATTCCTATCACTTAATTGTTTTTTTTTTTTTACCTGAGTTTGAAAAATTTGCCTTAAGCAATTTATATAAGTATCAGTAGTTACACTTTTAGAAGCAAAAGGCCACATATACCTGGTTGCATGATCAATAATTATGTGGATAAACGTTTTAGTAGAATTTTAATAATTTAAACCTCCAACAGTATCAGTAGACAATATTTCAAAACGTTCACTGACCGATGGTAAGTTTTGCATTAAACCAATTTTTTTCTTTTTTGTTTACTTTTCTTATTAAATTGACATACTTGCAATAATTTCTAACATCTTGAACAATGGTTGTCTTGAACTGTTGAACAATCTTGAATTGTTGAATAATCTTGAACAAAAGATGTAAACAGAGCAACTGAGTATGTCATTGAGTATCCCTCCTTAACGATAGACAGAAAACCCAAGTCTACCAACTTAAAATGTTACTTCACAGCACTGATCTGGTAATATGTACGCTACTACATCTAACAGTTTATACATTTAGAATCTAGAGTGATCCATTTAATATTGAAGATTTCCCAATATTTGCATCTTTTAAAGGAATGTGAGTGTCGGACATATTTAGAATTCCAATGTTTCTTTATGAGTGAGAGACTTGACCTTGCTTCCGGTAAGGTGTGTAAAAATAGATGATACTGTAAAGGCCGTTACTGATCTGTTGTCCAGGCGTTCAGAAACCTGAATTCCTACTTCATCAGGCAGACTTCCTACATACATATCTAAAACCATAACAGAACCATATGAAGGTTCATATGGTTCTGGTTTATGAGTGATTTGGTTTATGAGTGAGAGACTTGACCTTGCTTCCGGTAAGGTGTGTAAAAATAGATGATACTGTGAAGGCCGTTACTGATCTGTTGTCCAGGCGTTCAGAAACCTGAATTCCTACTTCATCAGACAGACTTTCTACATACATATCTAAAACCATAACAGAACCATATGAAGGTTCATATGGTTCTGGTGAAACATTTTGACAGTATTTTTTCAGAATTAATTTGTAAATTTTCTCATTAATTACCTGCAAACGGTTCAAAGCTGCTACTCGCTAATTTAAAATTGTGAAAAAGTCTTCACCACATGGTAGGATATCTGAAATGATAACATTGATATTCAGGTTCAAACGTTTAATATCCTTAAAGAGGCAATCGTACTTTTTAAGAATATCTTCAACACTGTCATTCGAATTGTTGGTACCAACATGTACCAAAATCAAATGGTATCGATTGTCCAAAAAGGATATCTTACGTCTTAACCTTTCTATCACTTGCACCAGGAAAAGAATGTAAATCTACTTCATAATTCAGAAGATTCGCCGGTAAATATATTCATCCAAATATTTAACCATTGAATCTCCAATTATAAGTAATTTCATCTTTTTTTGGTTGCATATCGGCAAAACAAACAACTACAAATCGAAACACAGATCAGTAATTTAGTTATAATTAAATACGCTGTAAATAAAATGCAACTATAAATTAAATGAAAATCAAATCAAACACTATTCATAAATATAACAAAATACAAATAATTATTAATAGAAGAAAAGAAGTAAATAGCTCAAATGAAGCGAGAAAAATGGCGCAAAAAAATACACACATCACAGCTGCTAATTAGCAGTTAAACTAAATTGGCGCCAATTCTTGAGCTTGCGGAAAAATTTACGCGAGAAAAAAATAACGCCAAATGCTCCGCCAAGCTTTACTGCCAACGGAGATATCAAAGGTACATATCCA